TGGTAGAGGAGGAGAGGGGGGTGTATGGGGCCAGTGGGAGGGAAGTGAGAGGAGGAAAAGAAGTGGAAATTTTGATTTTTTTTATAAAATAAAAAAGTTTAAAAAAAGAAAAAGAAAATTTTATGAGTGTACAGTACACGGGTAAGCCAGGTATAAGTGGTACTGAACCATGAAAATATTTAAACACATAGTTTTACTAGCCTTAGAAACTAAATTTCATGATACCCTCATGTCTGCTTTTGCACCATGATCTCTGTAGAAAAATTCCTTGAGTTTACCAAGATGTGTAATTATAACAATTGCCTAATTCAAACATTTAAAAAAATCATTCAATATATTCTATAAATTTAAATAATGTTTTGTAGATATCATAATTATTGTTCCTACCACAGTTCAATGTATTATTAAATTAACAATATTTAAGTTAGCAAAGTGTTTGATACAGATACTTAAAAGTGATTTCAAGCCTAAAGGAGGTGGTACATTCCTGCATAGCTTTAATACCAGCACTCTGGAGGCAGATGCAGGCAAATCTCTGCAGGTTCCATGCCAGTCTTTTCTACAGAGTGAGTCCCAGGATAGTCAGAATTATACAAAGAAACCATATCTTGAAAAAAATTATTTAAATATAAAATGGTATACATTTTAGAACACTTTATGTAGTTTTATTTTCATCAAGCAACCTCCAAATTAAAATGTTTTGCATGAAAGTGATTCAGAGTATCTCCATGTTTACTGTAATGGAACTCTTTCAACCTTTGTGCCAAAGCCGTGCATGATAATCCTTGAGAAGTGCAAGAGAGTTGGGTGGGGTATCCTCTCTGGTCTCTTCATTAATGTTTGATTGAAAGTGAATTCTGTGGCTTTCAATTACCGTGCTGCATAGATTCAGCTGGTGATAAGAAGTTATTTAATTTGATGTCAAGTTTGACTATTCTCACTTGTGACAGGGCTCCTGAGTATTATCTTGGACATCATGATAGGATCAAAGCAGCTGCTCTCAGAGTAAGGCTGCTTTTGGTAATTGAAGCAAGGAGCTATACATTAGTGTGCACAGAGTGTTTAAAGTACTCTTCATATACAATATCAAGTTACTTTTATATTAAAGCTGTTTTTTGGCCAGGAATACTTAGTCAGTAATTCATGTTTATCTGGTAAAATATTATTGAATTCTACTCTTTAAAGAAAGCCTATTAAAACATTACAAAGTGTAATGTTGCCTTGTACTAACATGCCTGTGTGAGGACTATATGAGGACAAGTGGAAACTGGATTTTCTTGCAAACTATGAAAGTAAATGTTGCAGAAATTATAAATTAGATTTGTGTAAAACATAAATATAAATATTAAAGGCAACAGCAAGGTTTGAGCCTCAAGCAACTAATCAGAATAATTAAAATCATTGAAGGTAATATAGTAGAGTGTTGAAAGTTGATATTGGATATAAGAAAATTATTTCATTTGAGGTTGCTGTAGTGACACTTCTGATATTTAGAATTAGTGTTTCTTTGTTGTTTCTTTGCTTCTATGTCACCTTTACTGTTTATGTTTCTTCACTTATTTTCAGTTCTTATCATATCTCAGTACTTTTCATCCTAGAGCCATAATTTATTGGACTCTTTACTGGTGAATGTTTCATCATAAATGCATTCATCATGTTTTCTTTTAAGAAAACTACATAACAAATAAGATATGCAAGGTACTTTAGTTTAAGAACAATATTAGTTTTATGTATTTTATTTTGTATTTATACATACACATAGGTTATTTCAGTCCTTTAATTCTTCCCCTATGTCAACACTACATTTTTGTTTTGTTTTGTTTTGTTTTGTTTTGAGACAAGGTTCCTCTGTGGGTTTGGAGCCTGTCCTGGAACTAGCACTTGTAGACCAGGCTGGCCTCAAATTCACAGAGATCTAACTGCCTCTGTCTCCTGAATGCTGGAATTAAAGGTGTGCATCACCACCACCCAAACACTACTTTTTATCTCAAATTCAATGTAACCTTTTTTTAAAATTTATATCTCCTGCCTATATATGCATAAATATGAGAACATCTGGATCATGGGAAAACTCTAGATACACAGCCATGAAGAAAACTTACAGTCCCTCCAATACCAACCATCAACAGCCAGTAGCTTCTCATAGGAGTATATTTCAGAAATGGTGGAGTCTGCTAAGGTACAAGATTTATTGAAGATAGACTTAGACAAAACCTATCTATTGTAAATCATTGGAGGAATGTACTAACATCTTGATAAAAATATGATTACATAGAACTTAAATAGATCATTTAAACATAGTGGGATATCAATAAATAGTACATTTCCCTTTCAAATAGCTACAACAAGTTAAGTGCAGTACAATTCCTGATTTAAAAATAAACATAGAGCCAAAGTACTCAGAACAGGTTAATAATTTTATAGAGTCAGAGAAAAAGAACTAGAAAAGTTTTTCAGACAATATTGTTTGAGAAATATACGTATATAAATATAATGTTTGACAAGAGAACCAAGAAAATAGTGAAAAGGGGCATGCTGGGTAAGAGTGAACTTG